ATTTAATAAACCATGTGTTTTTTTTGTCTTGCTATCCCCATCTATGCTTTATATTTCTGCATATCCATAACAGCAAACATGCTAGATCTTGTTGAGAAAATAAAATGTGAAATCATTAGGCAAGTCTGCTTTATTTGTATAGACCAAAATAACCTCACAGACAATAAAAAGACCAAAAAGCATACTAAACAATATTACAAAAAAGTCACAAATTTATTCAAACGGTTACAAGTAAACAAACAAACAAACAAACAAGCAAACTATGTGAAATACTTAAATATGTACACATACAATATATGCAGACAGGAGAAGAATGAGACAAGAAAAGCGGTCAAATATCCAGACAGAACTATGCCAGAAGCTTGTTGAGGGTTACCAAAACTTTCTGAGGTACAACTTGCAATCTGCCCACCATGGAGAAAAAAAAGGACATTTCAAAGAAATTATTAGGCCAAAATGACCATAACATTCACTATATGTGTATTGTTCATCTGCTAATTTTGTGACAATGACATTAAAACAAACCATTTATTTTTCTAATGTAGTGGTTTGACATTGATATTTATAAACGAATAAAATAAATACCTGTAATAAGCCGTATTACATTTGATTTGATCTTTCAAACCTGCCCCGAAGATCTCTGATGGGGGGTGGGGGGGTGGCTTTGTTTTGGGGTTGTTGTTGATTTTTTTTTTTTTTGTTTGTTTGTTTTTTTGTTGTAAAATGTTTCATATATTAAACGGAATTATGACATGATCATCGTGAAAATAATAAAAGTTGAAACTATTGTTAATATAGTTATATATTTAATAATGTCAAAAGTAACTAAACTCGAAACACTAGCTGTGTCCCAATTCAGGGTCTGCACGCTTGAAGTACGCATTTTAAGTGTGATTACGTCACCGCCACGCGATGACGGCTGTCCCAATTCGAAGTGTACTTCAAATGCATACTCCAAATGCGCCATCGATTTCCCCAAATATCAAGCGTGGTCCGGTGCACGCTTCGTGGTCCCATATATCCCACAATTCATAGCGCAGCGGTGAGTGTGGATAATTTTGCCACAAAATATGGCAGAAGGGAGAGACCGAAGAGTGAACTGTCAAAAGTAAGTAAGAATGTTTAATAACGAAGAACATTAAAACATTGCTGTTGGCCACATGTGGCAAAGTTGTGTGACATTAGTGATGTTTGTACTTTCAGCGTTAACTTAATTGTAAAGCCATATATATATATGACAATAACTATAATATTGTCCATATTATATTTACATTATCACAGTGAGATGATTTTAGTCTCATGAACAACATGAGCTAATTGTTATTTACTAACTA